GATTTGATGTAAATTTAGACATAAAGAATGCTTTAGAGTTCTTATCAAACAGGTTCAAATTTCCTAAGCGTTCTACAGGAATTTTATCACCATTTGCAATAACTACATTTCCTAAGGTAATGTATTTGAGCAATTGTGAGTTACTAATCATATGATGTAAAACACCCGAGTCTATAAGAATATCATTGCTAAACTTTTGGGTAAAGAAAGTGATACCAGGCTCCTTGAAGGAGGCAATGGCTTTAATGGCCGCTTCCAAGTCTGCTTTCCTCACAAAGTCTCCTTGGATGGTATCTTCTTGGTGAGTGGATGAACCGGCCTGACTTTGAGACGCCAAGTGTTCATAAACAGTATTGGCCCTTGAATCTTTGAACTTGGCTGGTTTAAGATGTGGATGAAGAATCAAGCACTTGTCTTTGGTGTTGCCCTTCTTCTTGCAGTATTCGCACACCCATGGCTTCTTGTCCTCCGGCTTGTAAGTTCCCTTGTTGGCTGTGAGAAGCTCTCCTTTACCACAAAAGAGGCCGGATGACCCTTGTTCTTTCTCGATGCGAGCACACACTTCCTCAAGACTTCGAAGCTTATTCTCACGCAGAATGTGCTTGATGAGGTCATTGAACAACAGGTTCAGAGTGAGCAAGAGACCAAAGACCTTATCTTGCTCACGCCGAGCATTCAACACCATGGGATCTGTTGTGGCTGGCCTCAGCATCTCAAATTCAGCCCACAGAGATCTAAAATTACCAAAGTTTTTGGTAAACTCCATATCTTCCTGGCTTAGGTCGTTGATGGCTTTCTTCACCTCAAAGATGTGGCTCAGGTTGGTGTCATTTCCATAGACGTTCTTGAGAGTTTCCCAAAGAGCCTTTGCGGTCTCACAGAAGGAGTAAGCTTCAAGAATCGCCGGATCTAGAGAGTTCTGGATGAGACCAAGCACCGTCTGGTCTTCTTGAAACCATTTGGTTTCCTCGGCAAGGAGTTCTTCACTCTTCTTCTCATCTTTGTCTTCATCCTTTGGTGTTTTGTCTTCCAAGATGTGGCTCCAGAGACCACGACCACAAAGAGCAGTTTTGGTGGTTCTGGACCGCAGAAGATAGTTAGCTCCCTTGAGCATAACTGGAATCACCACCATTTTTGTGTTCTCCATGATGAACAGAAAGTAACCATTGGGAAATAGAATAAAAGAGAAAGAGCGAACCAGAGAATAAGAACACAGAGATTAAGGATGAGATTTAAAGAGAATAGAACAAGATATAGAGATCATTGCTCTGATACCATGTTGAGATTTGCGGAATAGAATTGTAAATAAGCTAAGAGAAAGTATAGATTGAAACAGAGAAGAAAAAAAAACGTTTTTCTCCTTGGATTTAGAATAATGGTGGCTACAAATGTTTTATAAAAGGATACAAAAAAACAAGAGAACCCTAATACATATGGACTGCCTAATGGGCTTTTATAAAGACCTTCTAAAAGCTTCTAAAGCCTTATAAAACCTTCTAAACCCTTATAAAGTCCTTGCTGAATATGGATCATGCTTTATATAACCATATAAAAGCTTTATCACTTAGAGAGAAAGGAAAAAGCTTACACTTCACATAGTCCACCGTTTCTGGAGTTGTTCTCACCATTCCACAGATTTCTTCAAAAAGATCAATGTGGTCCATTGGATGCTCAGTAGAGATTCCATGGAATTGATTCTGCTTCACCAAAGAGACAATCTGAGGTTTTATCTCATGATCTCCTCTTGCTGGAACAGGAACTTGAATAGCTGATCTATTTTGGAAGTGTTGGTGAGGTGCATCGAAATCGGAAATGAGTCTATTATGAGGCTGACTTCTCGCAGGATTGGCAAGCTGTATGGGTCGATTGTCTTCTCTACCATTAGGTGGAACAATGTTTTCATCATTCCTTCTTTCTTCGGGATCGACCTGGTCTTGTCTCCTTTGGTTATCAGCGGCTTGAGCAGCATTCACAGGGACTCGGTTTCCCTCTTCATCAAGTTGTGGCTGACCATCTTCTTCATGGGAAGCATCTAGGTCATCACCATGAATAGAATCATGGTCATTGTCTCCAATGTGATCACCTTGATCACGGTTTAAAAGATATTCCCGATGGGCATTCGGATTGGCCATCTTGAGCGTTCTTCGTCTGAGTTTCCTAAGTGCTCTTTCGTGTTTGTCAATCATGTTTAAGGGCGGTACAATGTTATCAGGATTTCTCCTAGTTTTCATGCACCTGAGAGCAAAGAAAGCAAATAGAAAAAGAGGAGTTATAAAATCTCCAGCAGAAACTCGAAAATCTTGTGGTCTAGGATTGAAATTAGATTACGAAATCAAGTCAACAGCGACGAATCCCCGGAAACGGCGCCAAATATTGATGTGGGTGCAGTGGGCAACACAAGTTTTACCCTAAACAAGCTGCAAGTGCACAGTAAACGCAGTAGTACTTAGGGATCGAATTCACATGGATTTGTGTGTTGAGGACTTCTAACTGATGCTAAAAAAATCGTAGACCTAATCTAATAAAAAGGGATTTTGGTTTGTCACTAAATATAATTATGCAGAGAATTAAAAAGCTGGAAATAAAAATCGGTTGAAAACAATAAGAAAAACGGCGATGGGTTCAAGGTTCATCTTTAGGGTTCATGTTCTAAAACTCAAGGAATTTAGGCAAAGATTTTCTATGACTCTGAAATTAGGATAGACAATTGTAAGATTAGCCAACTGATACAAGCACCAAGTTGTCAAGGGCTTATATTATCTCGGAAGCAAAGTTTTGATCGGTGGCCAAGGGGTTATCCAAGTGAATGAGCAACTCTAGACAATTGGATCGATGTAAATGGCTAAGTGACAAGGTGGATCGATGTGCACCACACAAGTTGTGTAAGACTTGTGATAAAACACAAGAACTTTGATCTAGGAGGTACTGGTCTCAACTAGAGAAGTGAAGAAAGTTCGATTTTTATTGATATGAAAGGTGAAAAATTACAAGGCTGTAATGGGATCTTATATAATGGTCCTAGCAGCTTAGACTCAAAGCAATAAAAAGACTAAAAAAAACAGGACTTTTAAAAGTAAAGACTCAAAACAACAAGACTTGTAAATTAAAATGCTACATTAAAGGACTCAAAAAGGAAATAAAAGACTACTAAACTAAATTGTCCCTGTATAAGATCAAAGACAAGAAACTTGGTTAGTCAAAGAAATAAATATTGATTGAACACTCAGCTTATTTGGTGGCCGAGACTAGTGTGTCTTTGACTAGATTTGAATCTTCCCTCTTAATATCTTGGTTCATTGGCAAGATAGTCAGCATGTAGACTTGGGCTTGATTTGGTAAAAGGGGCCAAATATCTTGATTCTTTGAAGCTGGACCGTGTGCTAGCTCTTGGCATTCTTCAAGTAGTCCGGCCCAAGCTTATTGTTGAAGGGCTTCATTCTGCAGATCCACTTGCTCATGGTCTTCTCTCGGCCTCTCTTGATCTACTTGAGACATTGCTTGTAGCATGCTCTGGTTGTACTTGTGTTGAAGAATCTTAGCACTTAGTCTTGTTATTGGACCTTCATGAATGACTGGTATTTCGACATCTTGTAGTTGTGGCTCGGTTAAGTCTGGCTCAGCTTGAATGGCCTCATCATTCCCTCCCTCTTTAAAAGGTTTTGACCTCAAAACTAGATCATCTGCAATATAGGGAGCTAGATCAGATACAATGAAAGTTGAAGATATGTTAAACTCACCTGGTAGTTCGAGTTTGTAGGCGTTGTTATTGATCTTCTCTAGTATCTTGAAAGGTCCATCTCCTCTTGGTGCTAGCTTTGAACTCCTTTGGTTTGGGAATCTTTCATGTTTCATGTGCAGCCACACCCAATCTCCCGGTTCAAACACCACTTCTTTTCGTCCTTTGTTGGCATGCTTCACATATTGTTCAGTTCTCTTCTCCAAGTTCGCTTTTGCATTTTGATGTAGTTTCTTTATGAAATCGGCTCTTCTTTCTCCATCTAGGTTCACGACTTCAGCAGGTGGTAATGGTGTGAATTCCATTAGAGTCTTGGGGTTGAATCCATAGACTATCTTGAATGGAGACATTTTTGTAGCTGAATGCTGCGCTCTGTTGTAGGCGAATTCGATGAAGGGTATGCACTCCAACCAGTTCTTCATGTTTCTTCCAAGAGTGGCTCTTAAAAATGTATAAAATTTCTGTTCACCACCTCAGTTTGGCCGTCTGTTTGGGGGTGACAGGTAGTAGAGAACAAAAGCTTAGTGCCAAACTTCTTCCACAAGGTTCTCCAAAATTGGGTCAAGAACTTGCTATCTCGGTCAGATACAATGGTTTTTGGTACTCCATGTAAGCGCACCACCTCCTTGAAGAATAAATCCGTCGTTTGAGATGCATCATTCACCTTTGCACAAGGTATAAAATGTGCAATCTTGGAGAATCTGTCCACCACCACAAATATGGAGTCTTTGTGCTTGATCTTTGGCAATCCCAGCACAAAATCCATCGACATATCAACCCATGATGCTGTAGGAATCGGTAATGGTAAGTACAAACCGTGAGGGTGCACTCTAGACTTGGCTTTCTAGCAGATTACGCATCTTGCACAATGAGCTTCTACAGCCTTTTTGAGGCGAGACCAATATAAGTGCTCTTTCACCACTGGAAGCATCTTGTCTACTCCAAAGTGACCCATCAATCCTCCTCCATGAACTTCTCTGACAATGAGATCTCTAAGAGAACATTGCAGAATAAAAAGTCTCTTATCTCGGAACATGAAGCCTTCATAGATGTAGAATTTGCCATGAACTCCTTTGCTACACTCCTCAAAGCTCTCTCCTAGCTCTGGATCCTCTTTTTAAAGGTCTTTGATGAATTCCAAACCCATAACTTTGGCCTCCATAGTTCTGATGAGTGCATGTCCTCGAGATAAAGCATCTGCCACTATGTTGTCTTTGCCCTTCTTGTACTTGATAATGTAGGGAAAAGACTCAATAAACTCCATTCATCTGGCATGTCTTCTCTTGAGGTGAGTTTGTCCTCGAAGGTGCTTAAGTGTTTCATGGTCAGAATGGACCACAAACTCTCTTGACATCAGATAATGCTGCCAAGTCTCCAAAGCTCTAACTAGAGCATATAACTCTTTGTCATATGTCGGATAGTTAACCGTAGCTCCTCCTAGCTTCTTACTGAAAAACGCCACTGGTTTCCCTCTTTGTGTCAATAGAGCTCCTATGCCAATGCCTGATGCATCACACTCCACTTCAAACGTTTTGTTAAATTCTGGCAACACTAGAACCGGTGCATTGGTAAGCTTCTTCTTGAGAGTATTAAACGCCTTTTGTTGAGCTTCTCCCCAGGTAAAACCAACACTTTTCTTCACCACAGCAGTGAGAGGTGCGGCTATACTACTGAAATCCTCAAAAAACCGCCGATAAAAGCTTGCTAACCCATGGAAGCTCCTCACTTGACTGATGTTTGTTGGGGCCGGCCAGTCTTTGATGGCTTTTATCTTCTCCTCATCAACCTGTAATCCGTGCGAGCTCACAACAAAACGTAGGAAAACCAACTTATCAGTGTAGAATACGCACTTCTTTAAGTTTGCATAAAGGTCTTCTTGTCGAAGAGTCTTTAAAAAAAGCTCAAGATGTGACACATGATCAGATAAACATTCGCTGTAAACTAAAATATTATCAAAATAAACTACAACAAACTTACTGATGTATGCTCTAAGAACTTGGTTCATTAGACGCATAAAGGTACTTGGTGCATTGGTGAGGCCGAAGGGCATCACCATCCATTCATAGATATCTTGCTTGGTCTTGAAGGCAGTCTTCCATTCATAACCTTCTTTTATCCTCACTTGATGGTATCCACTCTTGAGATCGATCTTTGAGAACAAGGTGGCTCCACTAAGCTCATCAAGCATATCATCGAGTCTTGGAATCGGGTGTCTATACTTGATGGAGATGTTGTTGATGGCTCGGCATTCTACACACATGCGCCAGGAGCCATCTTTATTTGGCACCAACAGGAAAAGAACGCCACAAGTGTTGAGGCTCTCCCTCACATATCCTTTGTCTAGTAGCTCCTTGATTTGCCTCTCCAACTCCTTAGACTTCTCAGGGCTCATTCGGTAAGCCGTTTTGTTTGGTAAAGATGCTCCTGGTAGGAAGTCTATTTGGTGTTCTATGCCTCGAATTGGTGGCAATCCTTCAGGCATTTTTTCAGGGAACACATCTTTAAACTTGTCAAGTAAATCAGTAATCTCCGGTGGTAGTTCAAGCTCACCTAAAACTACGCTCAAAATCTCCTTAAAGATCATTAGTAGCATTGTGTGTTTAGCAGCAAAAACTTTTCTTACAGAACTAGGCTGAACAAGAAAATATAACTTAGAGATACTTTCTTTTTCTTTAAGCATTTGCATTTGTAGTTTATGCACTTGTGATGGTATAAGAGGTGCTAAACTAACCTTTCTTTTATTATGCATAAGAGTACACATATTAGTCCTACCATCATGCTTAGTTTCTCTATCAAATTGCTATGGCCTACCTAGCTGTAAATAACCAGCTTGCATAGGAACTACATCGCACAAAACTTGATCTTGATATTTTCCTATGCTAAATGGAATGGTGACTTGATCGGAAATCTTAAGCTCTCATCGAGCCATCTCAGCCTATAGGGACGTGGATGTTTAGTTCTCTCAAGGCCTAGCTTATCAACCATGTGAGCACTTGCAACATTAGTACAAGACCCACCATCAATAATAAGGTTACATACCTTCCATTTTATAGTGCAACGGCTGTGAAAGATATTTTCTCTTTGTATAGTCTCGGCTGGCTCCACCATTGCACTTAATACACGTCTAGTGACAAGAAGCTCTCCTCTGTCTGGATAAGATATGTCACCATACTCATCGAATTGATCTTCTTGAACATCAGCTTCACCGTGTGACTCATAGTCTCCAGCCTCGGTCATGAGCATCACTCGATTGTTTGGACACTCACGAGACATATGACCTCTTCCCCTGCATTTGAAACAAGTGATATCTCTTGCACACTGAGGGTTATTAGTCTTACATGCCTCAGCTCTGGTCTGGTGTCTTTAATGGTTTCAACCGCCTTGCTTTGAAACGTGAATCAATCTCCACACTCTTGCCTTTGTCGAGTGGTTTGTTGAAGTTGGTGTTCCAAGTGGTTTGCGGCTTGCTTCTGGTGTTGGTGATCTTCTTCTTGATGTGTTGTTCTGCCTGTATAGACAGATGGAAAAGATCTTTGAAGTCTTGATATACCTGTCTCTCCACTTTTCGGTTGATCCTCTCTTGCAAACCATCAAGAAACTGCGCCATTAGAGCTTTTTCGTCGTCATGAAGCTCCAAACGATTCCTCAAGCGCTCAAACTCTTCATAGTATTCTTCTACGGTCCTGGTTCCCTGTTTGAGAGTTCTAAAACGACGCTGTAAGTCTCTATAAAAATGTGGAGGAACATACCTTTGCCTCATCAGGTCTTTCATCTCGACCAGCGGCTTCTCTTTCGATCTGATACTTCTCTGTGCCACCATCTAAGTGCTCCATCGGTGAGTTGAGCTACTGCTTGTGCTACTCTCTTGGAGCCTGGGTGATTGTCGTAATCAAAGATGTGATCCATCCTCTTCTCCCAATCTAGATAAGCCTTCGGATCAACTTTTCCAGCAAAGTTTGGTGCGGTCAGCTTGATGTGGTTCTGGTTCTGTCTAGAGTAAGGTGTATACTCTTCATCATCGGTATCTCCATAGTCGTCTTGTGGCACACGTCGCCTTTGCCCGCGGTTTATTTGACGTCTAGGGTTTGGCTCTTCATCTTGAGAAGGGTCATCTTCGGTCAGTGGTGAATTGTGTGGCTTGTTGATGTGCACTCCGTTGTGCCTTGGGTTGGTTCCGGTGTTCTGAGTGGTGTTGAGGCCGGTTCCTAATCCTCCAATGTTGTAAGTTGGCTGTAGAGTTACCCTCGGTGCTTGCTCCACACAGCTAAGTACTAATGCAAGACGTGATTAGAAACAAATATGGAAAGGCTGACTAATGGATGCAGCAATTTATGACTAATTTTCTTTTTTTTGTTTGACTTTTTCTCTGATGAAACAACTTAGACAATAATCAATAATGAATCAAATGACTAGGGAAATGAAGTGCACGAAGAATACAAAGAAAATATGATATGATGGTTGTAATAATTTGTTTTTGTCTATATGGATATGAGTACAATAAAAAAAAATGCAACTAAAATGATGCTTTCTTTTGTTTTTAATATATGAATGAGCAAATAACAGAATGATCAAATGATATGATTTTTTTTTATATGATGCGATGAAACAAATGACTAAATGAAAATGAAAAGATGTAAATAGATAGATAAAACCTGGGCTGAAGGAACTTCAGCTCTGATACAAAAAAAATTATACAAGCACCAAGCTGTCAAGGGCTTATATTATCTCGGAAGCAAAGCTTTGATCGGTGGCCAAGGGGTGATCCAAATGAATGAGCAACTCTAGACAATTGGATCGATGTAAATGGCTAAGTGACAAGGTGGATCGATGTGCACCACACAAGTTGTGTAAGACTTGTGACAAAACACGAGAACTTTGATCTAGGAGGTACTGGTCTCAACTAGAGCAAAGGGTTAAACAAGTTTCTCTCAAAGAAAACTGGTTTGAAGAAAGTTCGATTTTTATTCATATAAAAGGTGAAAAATTACAAGGCTGTAATGGGACCTTATATAATGGTCCTAGCAGCTTAGGCTCAAAGAAATAAAAAGACTCAAAACAACAGGACTTAAAGTAAAGACTCAAAACAACATGACTTGTAAATTAAAATGCTACATTAAAGGACTCAAAAAAGGAAATAAAAGGGTACTAAACTAAATTGTTCCTGCATAAGATCAAAGACAAGAAACTTGGTTAGTTAAAGAAATAAATATTGATTGAACACTTAGCTTATTTGGTGGCCGAGACTAGTGTGTCTTTGAATAGACTTGAATCTTCCCTCTTAAGTATCTTGGTTCATTGGCGAGATAGTCAGCATGTAGACTTGGGCTTGATTTGGTAAAAGGGGCCAAATATCTTGATTCTTTGAAGCTGTGACGTTTGCTAGCTCTTGGCATTCTTCAAGTAGTCCGGTCCAAGCTTGTTGTTGATGGCTTCATTATGCGGATCCACTTGCTCATGGTCTTCTCTAGGCCTATCTTGATCCACTTGAGACATTGCTTGTAGCATGCTCTGGTTGTACTTGTGTTGAAGAATCTTAGCTCTTTGTCTTGTTATTGAGCCTTCATGAATGAATGGTATTTTAACATCTTGTAGTTGTGGCTCGGTTAAGTCTGGCTCAGCTTGAATGGCCTCATCACCAACTCTCGTCACCCTAATCATCCAGTCACTTGTTCATGGCAATTAACTCTCGCTCTCATGCCAGAACAAGATCATGCATTGCAGATTGGAATCCATCTCGGCTTACGTATCCTCTGTAGGTAGCTTTCTTCTCCTACGACGGTGACGTCTATAAGATCTAGTTCAGGCAACCCAGATACAACACTCTTGTGGCTCGGATTTAACCTAGAATCGGATTCTGGGTGATCAATCCAGAATTACCGCTTTGAGATTTGGATGAATGGGAGAATCATGTAAAATTCAAAATTCTTTTTCCTAAAAACCTAGATGTCATTCAAACATGGGATCCCTTTGGATTTCCCTTTCATCCAACTAGGTGACTACTCAGACATGGCTGAGATAGACATCATCATCGGTTTAAGAACTAGAAAGAAGAAAAGTAAAGAAACAAAAGTTGCAGAAAATCTTCTCTTATTGAAGACACAGTGGCGATGAAAAGCTTCTACAGATGCATAAAAAGAAAACCTAAAACTACAAATGAGTTCTCTCTCAAAGAGAAGAAAGAGGGTTTCTTGCAAAAGACCTAAAAATGAGTATATATAGTGTTTCTCCAAGTCTGGACATCTAGGACTTGTAAATTGGGTACAGGAAGTGTCTTGGGCCTTAGCTGGGCTCCTGAGGTTTGGACATAGGTCCACCGGGGGTGAAACCTGTTGAGCCGCAGTGGGAACAAGTCTGGCCACGGGTGAAAGCTTTTGTGCTTGACTAGACTTGTGTTGATTGGTCTTCAGTGCGTTGATGATATCTGGAGATCTAACAGTTGGATTGCTTTGATTCTAAGTGTTGGAAAGCTGGTTGTCTCTTTTAAAATTTCTCCAAATTTGGGGATGATCAGACGGTGAGAAGGTCTTCATTGGTTGCCAAACTTCTGACGGCCTGAATTTATCCAAAAATGTACTTTTGCTCCAAAATGCACTCCAAAGCTCTAAGTCTCCTAAAAAGCCTTTCAAAACTCCAAAACATGGAAAACACTTATAAAGCCTTTAAAACTGAGTGAAAACACCTGCATAAGATATTGAAAGTGATCCATAAAAGTGGTCAAAATCAGGTGTTATCACAAAGCTAGACCAAGTCAAATTAATCAAGAACTTTTAGAACATTGTAAGAAAGAAATTCAAGAATTATTAGGTAAGAAACTAATAAGGAAATCTAAATCACCTTGGAGTTGTCAGCCTTTTACGTTAATAATCAAGCAGAAATAGGAATACCTTGCCTAGTGATTAACAATAAACCTTTAAACAATGTTATACAATAGATAAGGTATCCTATACCTAATAAAAGAGACCTATTAAAAAGACTATATGATGGTTGTATATTTTCAAAATTTGATATGAAAAGCGGATTTTGGCAAATTCAAATAGCCAAAAAGGACAAATATAAGACATCATTCACCGTGCCTTTTGGGCAATATGAATGGAATGTCATGCCCTTCGGTTTAAAAAATGCATCTTCTGAATTTCAAAATATTATGAATGAAATATTTAACCCTTATTCTAGCTTTTCTATAGTTTATATAGATGATGTATTAATATTTTCAAAATCTATTGACCAACATTTTAAACATCTATATATTTTCTTAAACATAGTCAAAAGACATGGGTTAGTAGTATCCGCAAAAAAGATGCAAATATTTCAAACAATAATAAGATTTTTAGGACACAATATTTATCAAGGAACTATAACACCTATATCTAGGTTTGTAGAATTCGCAAATAAATTTCCAAAAGAAATAAAAGATAAAACTCAATTACAACTATTTTTAGGATGTTTAAATTATATATCAGATTTCTTCCGAATATCAGAAAAAATTATTCAACCATTGTTTCAGATATTGCAGAAGAATCCAGTATCATGGTCTAGTCAGCATACTAGTATAGTTCAAGATATTAAAAAAAAGGTCACAACATTACCGTGTCTAGTTATTCCACATCCTAATGCATTCATGATAGTAGAAACCGATGCATCAGATAGAATATGGGGGGATCCTTAAACAAAAGATGTCAGAGTCTACTCAGGAGTCAATAATCCGTTTTCATTCAGGAATTTGGCTTGGACCTCAAAAAATTTATTCCACTGTTAAAAAAGAAGTTTTATCTATAGTAAACTGTATTTCTAAATTTCAAGACGATTTGATAAAAAAAAATGTTTTACTACGAGTAGATTGCAAATTTGCAAAAGAGATTTTACAAAAGGATGTTAAAAATTTAGTTTCTAAACAAATTTTTGCAAGATGGCAAGCCATTTTATCTGTTTTCGATTTTGATATACAATATATAAAAGGAAAAAATAAATGTTTACCCGATTTTCTAACAAGAGAGTATTTACAGGGAAAATCTCAAGACCTACAAAATGAGTGAACAAAAAAAAAGCCAATGTCCGCGGCAGACTACATCAAGAATCAACCACATCTACAAGGAAAACAAAGAACCATCAGTAATCAATACTCTACATTAGCAGAATTCCCTCCTTTGTCCTATGCAAAAGCCGTTAACCCAATACCTCAAAAATAGCCACTCCCTCCTCCTCACAAAAAAACTACTGACCAAAAGTCCTCATACTTTCTAAAACCACACCGCCAACACCTCATCGCCACCTCCCTCACCAAACCAAAATCATTGAAAGACTTAACCCGCTTTTACCAATCATATATTTTACGAGGATAGCCAATACCTCACCGACAAACTTACCAAGAACCGTACCTTTTATGAGTTTATCCTCGTCGATACCAAGTCAGTCGAAATAACCCATCATACAGATAAAACCAACTCTAACCTCATATCATACTCCACCTGTCAAATACTAAGGGTATAACAATCCTAAAAACCTCAGGTTTTTTACATATCACACCACTAAGGAATTCTCTATCTCCGGGTATCCTATTTCAGGATTTACCTACGTAGACTACCAAAAAGCTTTCCTACATGCATTTTACCTACGCACCTATGACCACTCTTGGTTACTATAATTTGACTTTCATTTTCCTAAGTCAATACCAAGATGGTTCTATGAATGGTGGCACTGGTTGGGACCATGCAAAGAAATCTATCCAACCCAAATACTCAAGGTATCTTTACCCTACTACACTAAACACGAAAAACCTGAACCCATAGGCCCTTTACCGAAAATGACTTTCCACATTGATATGGGGGTTCTCTGGATCCTATCTTGCCACTTTAACCTTATACCTTTTTTACCTGATATGCCATACTCATTAGTCTGAGAATATCGAGTAAAATGGTGGGACAAGTACAGTTTAGACCGTTGCTCCGTTACTAACCTCGAAAATGGATACAAACCCATAGTCAAATTAAGCAATCCGTTGCAACAATATCCCGAGCACTACCACCTATTCAAACAAAACCCACTAACTCCACCCCTAAAAAAATCAAACAGCCCAACAGAGTCAACAACTTCGTCCTCAGGGTCCAAGAAAAGCAAAGGAAAAGAAAAAATCAAGATTATATTGGAAGCCATCGCTATGCAAATCTCTTCTTCCGACGACGAAGACAATATTACACCAGACACTTCACAAAATGAAGACCCATACAGCGGTCCACTATCCCAAGACCCCTTTAGTATGTAAATATCTACTGTAAAGTATAAAATGAAAAATGTAAAATTTAAAATGTAATTAAAAAAAATCTGAAAATATAGAAAAGTCTGCAGAATTAATTAAAGGAGAAGCAACAACAATCAAGCTGGCGGAAGAAAACGACATCATTAATCAAGACCAAGAAAAAGACAACATCAACAATCAAGAAAGGAGACAACATATTCAATTCAAGAGAAAGCATCTTTAAAAGACAGCATCTTGAAGAGATAAGTCTGAAGCCTCAAGACAAAATAGCAAGATTACTCAGCCCTCTCAACACCATATCAAGACAGCTCATCTTTACTTTACGATAGTTTTATCAAATCCTTTGCATTTCTTTTGTATAAGTAAGCAAGAAGGCTTAGAGAAAAGGCAGAGTGAATTTTCAGTGAGACATCACTTACAAATTCACTGCACTTCCATACTCTCTAAAGCTTTCATCCTTGTATTTTCATCTTTGTATTTTCAATCTTTGTATTTCACTCCTTGTATTCAAATCAAATTTAATAAAGTAAGTTTTAATCATACTTCTTATCTTTTGATTCAAGCTTAAGAATTTTCTTTTACAAAGTATAAAACTTATATGCCAGTTCTTATATAAGTTTATATAATTTTATATAACTTGGGATTTTAATGGTATCAGAGCCAAGAAAAATAGCTAAGTATATATTGTATAAAAGTTGTTTTCTTAAGAAATTTTCAAACAAAAGGTTTTATGCTTAGACTAATCTTGGGTCTCTTGTTAATAGCATTCTACCAGCACTTTTCAAGAGTGTCGTTGACATAGGTGTTCTAGGCAGTAAGTCCTAAAGACAGTGAGACCATTGGTAAGCCGCAGTTTCGTCCGTCCTTGAAAAGTCCGGGTTAGTTCGCACGTCACATAGAGTTTAAGTAGCGTTTAAAGCTTGGCATCTTCAGTTAGAAAATGGTTTAAGTCTAAACATACTGCTTCTTCTGCGTTTCAAAAAACAATTAATTTAAGAGAAATAATGTCAAAAATTACAACTTTTAACAAAGAAATATCACATGATCAATTACCTCATGTTAGTCCTGAAAATATATATCAAATAGGAACTTTTGATTTTAAAACTGCATATTCAATAAAAGAACATGAACAAACTATATAATTACAAAATAAATTTGAAGAAATTAAATTGCTTTCTACTATGGCATTAGAAATTATAGACAAAAGAAATTTAATTATATTCATTTTGGCTTAATACAAATAGCAATAAAACCTATATCCCGAACGAGAATAGATTCCCCTATACTTATGTTATTAAAAGATAAAACTTTATTAAAATTTGAAGACTCCTTATTAGGAGCAGTACAATCAAATCTATGTAATGGAGCAGTATATTTTTATTGTGCTCCAAACTTTCAAGTAAGT